TCCGATAAAAATTCCAGTATTTGTTCCAGATAAATCTTTCGGATTTATTCCTGCATCGACGATAGCTTCATACGTATGCTCCATGAGCATCCTACTCATAGGATCCATGGAATGGACTTTGTTGAAGGGAATTTCAAAATAATCTGCATCAAACTTCTCACAATTATTAATCAGTCCCATACGTTGAGGTAGATCTGGATGACCTGCATATTAAACCGTATGTAATAAGTGAACAGTTATTTTCATTTCAACTAATATAGAAGTTTGAATAAAAAAATTATGGCAATGAATAAAATTTAAATAGAACAGTAATTTTATACATATGTTTCTATGAAGTATTTTTAATATAATTTTTTATTCATAGACCGAAGAAGATTTTACCATGATTCCATCGTCGTTCCTCATCTGATCCAAGATCCACGCTGTTAAATAAATTTTCTTGAAGTTGGCTAATATTGTCAGATTTAGGAAATCTACCGGCGATGCCAGAAATAACGATGTCATCTTCAGATTCGACATCAATGACCGTGGATTTTTTATTTGAGTTCATGTCAAACCCAACAACAGTAACTTTTACTTTTCTGGTTAACAAAGTCCCAATATCAGCAAATTTGCATATATTTTAAATGATTGATGATTTTAAATGATCTTTATTTTACGTTTTTACATTTACTCACTCTTTTTTCTTAATTTTTAATGATAATATTTAAATAAGATTCTGAAACCCAACTTACGCGATTGCCTGTGCGACTGGCGTAACACTAGTTAATAGCTCACCTTAAAACTTCACCTGTTTTTATATAAAAGACATATGTTAATTATTTCATCACTACTTATGCAGGCACATCATAAATTTACTATTTATAAAACAATTGATTGATCTCAATAATAATTAATGGTTTGTAATCGTGAAACATTAATGCCATGTGTTTCAAATTATTTGCAATCATTGGTCTGTAAAAGTAAATTCTCTTATTTATTTTACTATCTGTTGCATCGAGAGACCCGAAAATATGATATGGAAATAAGAATTTTGAGACCAATTGTATATATCTAGTAGAAAATTATTATAATTTTTAGTTACATGAGCTAGTTACATAAAAAATTACATAATTCTAAATAAAGAACTACACTGGTTTTAGAATAAGTGAATTTTTTACCGTAAGAAACAATATATCTCATTAAATAAACATTTAAATAATATAAACGTAGTTGAATGCGTTTAACCTTCTGAATACAATAAATGCGTATATATCCCGCAAATACAATTGATGTAGCCGACGAACTCATATTAACATTTGGCGAAAACGATCGATGTGGTCGATGGATATATGCAAAATAAAATTTAATAACAAAGTACAGATAGTCTGAAGGAAAAGGCAACAAGAGCCGTTGCTAGGTGTTCGTGCCACTAAAATTCACATTATATTGTAGAAATTATAAAAACCGAGAAAAAAATGGTGTAATATTGTCAGATGTAAAAATATATAATTAGTTATGAAAAGATCTAATAACATATGTAATTTTATATGATCATATATGTAGGAATCTTGGTTTGGCTATCAACTAATTTATTTTATTTAAAACAAGTAGATTTATTGAAGTAAAGTAAATTAAAAGATACGGAAGATTACAGTTGTTCTCTCGTCAACAGTCGCGGACGTTCTTCCCAAAACATTATGGTCAGTCAAAAGCATCGCTCCTCAAAAACATCACTGACCTCGTTCAATAATATATACATAGCCGGACTAACGTAAACCGTCGACTCGCCTCTAATACGACTCGGATCGACGTACGTCGATGTGCGAAACATTATTTTCCCACATTCGGCCGTCCTGACTGAACATTCACTTTGAATGTTCACCCACTTCGTTTTCGGAGTTGCCGGGCAGATCGCCGTCGATGCCGTCCATCCATGGCTTCATAAAACCCGCAGCTGACGAGGTCCGGTATAGTCTCTCGTGCTCACCGACCTTACGCACCAAATGTCGATCGTCGCGCAAAATTTTAACAAACATTTTAACGTCTTGTGCGGTCCAAGATATTCAGGCGCCAACTTGAAACCTGGATTTTGTTGCGTCCGCTTACTTGCGACGAGATCGCCCTCACGATGACAGAATGTCTTTTTTCTTCGTTTATCGTAGTGCTTTTCATTTTCGCGCTGAATCTTTTCGATATTTCCTCTTGCTCGTATCTGCAATCCGCCTCGGTCATTCTGCGCTTGCATCGACTTAGGAACAAGTCGTACATCGTTATCTACTTCTTTATATAACAGTCCGTCTCGCAAGATATTATCACTCGACTGTCCTTGTTTTAACGCATCCAACATTCTCTTTATGTCTTCGTCCCCGGATTGTGCCCTTTTCAGGCGAGTCGTCAATCTATCTTCACATTCATCGATCTGGCTATTTACAATATTTCTTTCCGACGATGATAAACGCCTCACTCGCTGATACACAGGTTTGCCATCTTCTAAAATAATCGGCATCTTTATATCGGTCTCTAATATTTGATTCGATCTGTATTCGTCAATTATCGTTACAACAGCGCGTACAGACGCGCGATCACAGGATCGGCATTTTGCACATAAGATGCATCTACTATGTTCGTTTTGCATGTATTGATTTGAACGATATCCGGCGAAT